ACCACACTGATTTTGGATTTTTTACTTCTATTTTCTAGTTTTTCTTTATAATTTATTGCATTTGCGACCATTTTTGGTTAACAGCCAACTATTGGAGCTAATTTCTTTTGGCTTTTTGAATGTAAACTCAAAGTTTTTATTAGTTTTCAGAATTCAGAACTGCAGTTCTCGGCTCTTCCCATTTTTATACCTAATTTATATGAAACAGCAAAATTTACAAATGTATAAAATTAAAACCCTTTACTCACATTTTGTTGAAAATTTTATCAAATGAAGTTTTTTCGCTTCGCAAAATATTTCATTTTATCGTTTGGTTCTATTTTAACGCACACGTCATTGCACAGTCAATAGCACACTTTCACTGATTTGCCAAAAATGAACTCGCAATTGACTTCAGAAATACTTGAATAATATTCAAAGACGATGCTATTATTTATCCATCGTTAGTTCATAGAATATTAAGTTCACAAAAAACTTTTAAATTAAGTAACATCGTCAGCGATTGTGTGTCTTTTTTTATAGCACATCACTATATATATATTTTCTTAATCTGGAGAACTTTCTCTAGCTGTACATACCCATTTTAAGCCGGAATTCGGGGGATGATATCCCTGTTTGTATCGGTAAGTGTAGCAGCAGGGTTGCTCCGTATCCTCTTGACCCGTGCTGGAATCGAGCCCAACCCGAGCCCCGAGGAATTTTTTTGCTGCATATGCGGTAAAAAGCTCCATCCAAACTACACCTCGGTTAGGTGCAATACAAGCAATGGATGGAGCCATCTTAAGACCTGCTCAAGCCTTAAGACCCATAGGGAATGCACCACGAGTTACGTAGCCCCATGCTGCCAACGCAATACTGCGACACCAACCTTAACGGCACTGCGCCGCCACTCTATTCGAGTGGCCAAGAAAGGCCCTCTACGGCCCTAATGACCTCTACCTTCATCCCGCTCCAATCCCCGAGAACCACTCAGCAACTCCTGATTCCTCGCACAGTCTGTTCCGTGTGTCAGACCGTAATACACCGGAACGTCACACCAGTCAAGTGCAATTCTTGCACTAGCTGGTGTCACTTTCTGTCGTGTTCCGGCCTGCGCACCACACGTGAGTGCAATCACACAGTGCGACAACCGCCCATGCGGATAGCATAGCTGCAACAACCACCACCTACACGCACCCCACTCACCCCTAGGATCACGACTGGACACCCGCGACAAACGCGACTCTTACAATTTAACTGCAACGGACTCCAGAGCAAGATCGAGGAGATAGTTGCATTTATGAGACGGGAGCGCGTAACGATAACTGCGGTCCAAGAAACCAAGCTAAACAGCCACTCAGATCTTCTGAGTTGTGCAGGTTTCAACGTTTTACGTAAGGATCGCGAGCGGGATAATGGTGGAGGCCTAGCCTTCATATTGCACAACACCGTGCAATATCGTCTAATCGATGTTGACATCGACCGCAGGGACACCACCCTAGAATGTCAGGGTATAGCTGTCCGGTCAGGCGATGTCGAGCTCGAAATATTTAATATATACATCCCCCCAGTTACATGTTGCCCAACAGGATATCACCCGAATATAGATGCGCTACTTCGTGGTGAAAACCGTTTAGTGCTAGGCGACTTTAACGCGCATCACGATCTTTGGCATTACTGCCTGTCAAATGATCGTAGGGGGATGGAGCTGGCGGAACAGATAGAAGATTCGACATTCTGCACAATGAATGACGAAGCCCCCACCAGAATTATGGGCACCTGTAATAGCTCGCCAGATATTACCATCGCTAGCGGTGGTCTGATAAATAGTATAACCTGGCGACCTATGCTAACTCTTGCATCAGACCATCTGCCCATAATCATCTCGATCGAGAAACCTCCTGACTTTATTTCTGTGGACAACCGCACTTATGTTAACTTTAACAAAGCCAACTGGGTCGGCTTCACAGAATTTACTGAGAGCACCTTCAACGCACTATCCATTCCTACGGACGTCATCGTTGGCGAGCGTCAATTCCGCAAGGTGATCGCTGCTGCTACTGCTCGCTTCATACCGGCTGGAAGAATCGCGGAACTCCGCCCCAATTTCCCAGCCGAAGCAGCTGTATTAGCAAATGAGCGCGATGCCGATCCCTGTGATCCCCGAATAAGGGATCTCAATTTGGAAATTCGGCAAATGGTAAATCATCATAAGCGGACAAAATGGATAGAGCACCTGAAGTCCTGCAACCTCTCCACGGGTGTGAGTAAGCTTTGGACTACTGTCAAGGAGACATGACGATCGGGTTGAAATTCAATTCGATGGCCATGCCTCCTCGGACCCGAAGAAGTGCGCGAGCTACTTTAGCCGGCAGTTTATACTGCACCCTTCGACCGACAAGGCCAAACGATGTGTTACCCGACGGCTGCGCAAAATGCCAAAAGACTGCGCACCACTTACTTTCACCGATGGGGAGGTTCAGAGTGTCATCAAAAAGGCGAAATCGTCTAAATCCATCGGCCCTGATGGAATAAGCATGCTGATAATAAAACACCTAGGCCCAACGGGAGTAAACTACCTCACCAAGGTCCTCAACCAGTCGATATCCACTCTTCAAATACCCGATGTGTGGAAAGTCGGAAGAGTGGTCCCACTGCTGAAACCTGGGAAACCCGCCAACAAAGGGGAGTCTTATCGCCCGAGAACTCTCCTTTCCCCAGTAGTGAAGACACTTGAGGCCTTGTTACTCCCGTCATTCACCCACCATCTGAGCCTAGCAGACCATCAGCAGGGCTTCTGTAAAGTGCACAGTACCACCACAGCACTTAGCGTCATAAACGCCCAGATAGTTCATGGCCTGAACCAGAAGCCACCCTGCGAGAGGACGATCCTCGTAGCGTTGGACTTGTCAAAAGCTTTTGACACAGTCAATCACGCAACGCTACTTGAGGACCTGGAACAATCAACGCTCCCTCCAGGACTGAAGCGGTGGACTATGAACTACCTGAGCGGTCGGCATTCATCTGTACTGTTTCGAGGTCAAAACTCCAAACTCAGGAAAATTAAACAGGGGGTTCCGCAGGGCGGTGTCCTCTCCCCGCTACTGTTTAATTTCTATATTTCAAAACTCCCCAGCCACCAGCGGGAATTTCAATGACCTCGTACGCTGATGACTGTACGATATTGACGTCGGGCAATGGAATTGATGGCATGTGTTCAAAAGTAAACGGCTACCTCTCCGATCTTTCTCGCTTCTTTTCTGCAAGGAACTTAACACTCTCCCCCACTAAATCCACAGCGACCATCTTCACCAATTGGACGAAGGAGTACAGACTGGACCTGAACATTTCAGTCGATGGCACAAAAATTCCGACAGTAAATAACCCTAAAATTTTAGGCGTCACTTTGGACAGTCTGTGCTCCTTCACTCCTCACACGACCGCGATAACTGCCAAAGTACAGAGCCGCAACAAAATCCTCAAGTCGCTTGCCGGCAGCTCATGGGGAAAAGACAAAGAAACGTTGTTGGCAACATACAAGGCAATCGGCCGGCCGGTCCTTAATTATGCAGCCGCAATATGGTCGCCTGGATGCAGTGACACGCAGAAGAAGAAGCTTCTGACTTGTCAGAACACTGCACTCCGGACTATCACGGGATGCCTCTTGATGTCTCCAATCGAACACCTACATAGTGAGGCCCGTATGCTTCCGGTTAAGGAACATAACGAGCTCCTCTCCAAGCAGTTTCTGCTGGGATGTTTTCGTAGAAATCACCCCTGCAGTCGCCTGCTTGTAGCGGAGCCGTCTCCTAGGAACATCAAGAGGTCCTTCCTTGACTACGTCGACGACATCAGACAGCACGCCGACCAGACTTCGGACGCAACTAACTTCAGACAAGCACTGACCGCCATTCACAGTGGAGCCATTAACACCTTCACCGACTCCCTCTCAGTGAATGGCGTAATACGAGTCAAACCACCACCCATAGCAGACACAGAGCTCGAGTTGCGTCGCGAATCTAGAGTGACCCTCGCGCAACTTCGTTCTGGATACTGTAGCAGATTAAACTTCTACCTATCCAGAATAGACCCTGACATACCAAACACATGTCCTGCATGCAATGAGTCTCCGCATGACACTAACCACCTCTTTGCATGCCCAACAAACCCCACTCATCTAACACCCCTCTCCCTATGGTCCGACCCCGTCGAAACAGCTCGTTTCCCGGGCCTTCCGTTAGATGACCTCGACGACAACGAATCTAGAATTTATCACCCAAACGGGGATTAGGTAACCGTTACAACAACAACAACAACAAAATTATAGTTCATGTATTTGGAGTATAATCCTCTTTTATTGTTCATTTTAATTCGCTTTCAAAATATATATTTATATATATATATATATAATAGATATGGCAACACTTATTATCTGACAACATGGAACCCATTTGTTATTGTTCATATTACGAAAATTGTGTAAAAATTAAATGCTTATTTAAAGCAAATACTTAAATATTTAATATAAAATAAATATGTAGAAACATTGAAGTGAAAAGTTAGTGTATAATACGTGCATAATATAAAAGAAAAGATCAACCATAAATCAAGAAATTGTAAAATGAAATTTGTGAAATTTTCAACTTAAAATGCAAATATATTCGTGATCTGGAGAATCTCCTCTATCCAACCATACCCCTCTTAACCCTGAAATCGTGGGATGCTAAACTAAAGCCCACCCCAAATGAGTTCCATGTCGTCAGAGAATAAGTGTTGCCATATCCAAACGAATGAAAGCAATCAAAATAAATATAAAAAAAAACCCCAATTACCCTCTACAGAATATTATAAACTAAATCTCGAAAACTATAAATTTCCGGCGGTAATAATTGTATATATTCGTGATCTGGAGAATCTTCTCTATCCAACCATACCCCTGTTAACACTGAAATCGTGGGATGCTAAACTAAAGCCGACCCATTGATTTATATACCATACATATTTCAGTGATTTTTACTTACATGTTCAAAGCTTTTATTGGCATTTGGCGTAGGAAGTTTTGGTGGAAATATCCGCTTATTGATGATAGATATTATTTCTATGGGGGGATTAACATTATTTGTAATACCACTAGTTTTTATAAACGAGCCACCCTTGTTGTCGATGAATTTGTTTTTTCCAGAAGTGTATTCGCAAGAATTATTTAACTTCGACATTTTCTTAAATTTTTTGAACATTTCTAATGTGATAAACACAATTATAGTTAGAATTAGTATTTTCAAAGTTTCTTTGCAATATACTCTTCTTCCGTAATTGCAACAGACGTCACCTCAAGTTTATATAACATATTATTATAAGTCGATGTCCTCATAATTTAAGAAATCCGATCGTTTCAAAATACACATTAATACATACATATATTTAAGTACTATACTTTGAATAAGAATATTTTGATAAATGCCAGCCACCATATTTTTAAATTTGTGTTTTAGTTATATCAATGTTTTACTTCAATATCTTCACTTCATAGCCTACATTGATATTATGTTCTGCTTAGACAAAGCAATGGAAAGTAGCAAACATATGCATATGTAAGTATTTCTTCTTTTGGTTAAATAAAATAGTAAGCCAATGCTAACTATAAGCCACGAGGTAATACATTATATAGTACACATTTTTATATTCAATGTCTGTTACAGGTTTGGACCAATAACGTAACTCATTAATATGTTTTAAAAGTGATTTATTTAATTACTGAAGCGTCTTCCGAGTAGAAATCATTTTATAAATCTAGGCTTATACAATGGTACAAATTGGAGCACTAAAACAATCGATATTTTATTTTCGTCTCACTATCGATCCTTTATTATAAGGTTTATGCCTTGACTAGACTTACTAAAATTTTAATAAAATTTAAAAATTTAACGTAATTAAACTACATAATGACACAGGCTGGTAATACTAACTGTGACGTCTACTATTCAATAACATCCCAGCAAGTCACGGCAATGGCTACTCCAATTTATTGAAGGTATTAGCGTTTACACCTACACACCGTGCCCAATGCGTTAGAAAGGAATGAACTATCACTTGTATACAAGAGTTTCATAAGTGTGTGCTTACATTGGGACATTTTTGTAACTCACAGATCGCTGCTACCCTTTCAGCATTCCTTTTTCTTTCGAATTCTTTGAATGGTTGCAAGAGCACTCGGTTTCAAATGAATCTATACCATTCATATAGAAATTTGAATTCTGTTATTTATTTTTTGTAAGTGATATGCAAATATGTATGCATATAATAATAGAAATATTTTGAAAAATTGTAAATAAGGAGAAAATTAAGATACTCAAAATGCAGTTTTAATTTTTAATAACATACCGCATAACCACTAAGAATTTAGTTCGAATATCATTTTATTTAAAACAAGAATTGTAACTAATTCAAGGATGTTTTATAATAAATAGAAATAAATATGGATTAAAAAAATGATGGGTTTTTAATATTTAGAGATTAGGAAATTCCTGTTATAAATTTGACCTTGAAAATATTAATAGCGGGTATTCAAACATTCTGGTGGATTAGGGGATTCCCGACTTAAGTATTTCTTTGAAACTATTAAGCGAGTAGGTATTATGCATATTTATCTACCACATTCATGATAAATCATTGCCAGCAAAATGTGAGGCTATCATTCCAACAAACAAATGAAATATGCAACACGCTCTAAGTGTTGCGCAGTCGAACCGCAGAAATATATGCGAAGACTTTATGCAGAGAACGTATATCATAGAGAAGGTTCAATTGCGGACCAGCGTGTGAATTGTCAAAACCTAACAAGATTTTATTAGTGAATTTCACCTCATCTGGCTCGGAAGGAGAAATTTTAACAGAAGTGAGTGAACAGAGCTGAGCATTCAATGAAAATTACTCAGAGACTTGTTTGATATTACAAACATGTTACTCTTTTGGCTTATATTCTTATTCGTTTATATGCAATCATATTTATTCATATGAATATCATTTCTTAATTTATGAATCTTGCAAAACTGATAAGACTCTAATTAATTAATTAAATCTAAGTAATTTTAAAAATATTATATATAATCAATTTGGGAATTTAATGATTTTATTTAGTTTATCATAATATACTTTCCTAATAGAGATTAAATTTATTACAATATATGTATATGTACATACTGTTTCATATTAATCTTATATATAATCATATGTATATCTACACAACGCAGTTGAATGTGCGGATTGAATGAAATCAATAATTTTATCATATATCAACACAATATATGTGCGCGCATTGATTTATATGTACACGCATATATATGTAGACTATAAATTGCCAGACAAATAATGCATACGAAACAAACATCATACATACGTATATGCGTACACATGTAAATATGTCACCCGCAAAAACTACAAACATTGTTTTACAAAACAACAATAGTCACAAGTCAATATGTCAGCCAAATAGCCGAATCCCAAATTCATAGCAAATATACAACAACAACATTTTCATTCATGAACGCAGGCGTACTTTAACAAGCAACCTCGCTTCATTCATAAAACAGATACCCTCACATCCCCAGGCATGCGCCTACAAGCGTCTTTTCACTACGATGTGCAAAAGTAAAATCATAAATTGAATTTCTGATATTCCTCTAGAAGGAAAAGTGACAACCCTCAAATATGAGTAAAATATTTTAGAATAAAAGTGACAACATAGTATTTGTCGATTTACATTCAAGAAACTTTTAAGAAAATATTCAATATTCCTCATTTAGTATACAGTAAGCCCGTTAAGTATCACTCCTCAATCCTCTTATCTGCCTGTTGTTGTTGCATCTCACGTTTTTCTTAATTTTTAAGGAAAACGGTAATTTTTAAATACAAAATATTTCTTTGGTACCAGTCTCTTAAGTACCACAATAAGCATATGACTTCTAAACATAAAAATCTGCAACTTTGGTTTTGGCACTTAACCGGGTTTGACTGTATTTGTCAAAGAATGTGCGTATGTAAATATGCGAATTTTTTGTACACACATCTGCCCGTATATATGCACATGACTTGTTGACTTTGTTTCCATTTACGCATGCCATGTTGTATATGAATAAGGGTTGATTTTGCACTTGCCATATGAGATGTATGTTTGTAAGAGTGTGTATGGTTCTGGTATCCCATGAAACAATGAGTGTACATATTTACATACATACGTTGCATATAGACAAATTAACAATTATAATGGGTATTTTCATATTTGTTTCGCTTGGCCTTTTCTTATTGGGTTATGTCAAGCAAGAGGAGTACAAATTCAAACCCAGACATCTGACTGAACTGAAGCAGTCCATTGATAGATATTTGAGGCAATCCCGACGAACCCTCCAGCCCGCATTAATTTTCTAATTAGTTGTCCAATATGCATTTCTGAGCATGGAGGAATAATTAATTGTATAAAATAAAATAAGATTTTCTATACAATACAAAAAAACTTAATGTAATGCATTGATTAAAAAGAAACTTATTACGGTTTATTTTTGTAGCACGATTCGTGAGCCGCCCTGTATATGCAGAATATCTTAAAATTATATGTAAATTCGTTTGCGCATTGTAAATATACGAATCTGTAATCGTACACTTCTTAACATTGAATTTAGCTTATTTTTCTCATTTAACATTCAAAATGCTCAATTCTGCTATTTTGCGCTCCGCAGGGGTAAAATTCTGGTGAAATCAGCTTATAATTTGTTTGTGGTGAAATGCACTAATGTTGGCGAGTAACCCTCCGTCAAGAGGAACATTTTGACAATCGGCACACCATGAACCTTCTCTATGATATACGTTGTCTGCTTTATGAATTGGAATGACAGAAAAACTCGATTGAGTTGCTGGACTCTTTTTGCTCGTGTGAATGTTGCGGAAACATTTACAATTAGGTAAGAATTTTTAATGTTCCATAATAGCGGCTGCACATAACCTGAGTTTCTCATACATGTAGCCGCAATTTAAAATTTTTGACGCCACGGTTTTCTAGTATTTTAATAGGAATTAGGAACCGTGGAACAACGAAAATTCTAAAGAAACTTTTATTATATTACGTATTCCTGATTTTGGAGAATAAAATAATGAAATTGAAACATATTATATGAACATTCTGTTGTGATCGAATTTCACAATATATTGTACATACTCTTACATACACCTAGAATATCACGTTAAATAACTTTAAATGTAGACAGCCGGGGAAAATCTTATACCAGACCACTATTTCATAGAAGAACAGCACTAAAGAGTAAAAACTTGAAAATATTAAAATTTTTAATTAAACACAAGTAAATTGTGGAGGAAAAAAGTATTGTATCGAAACGTGTTTTAAGTATAAATTTCTTCATCTTTTTACCATAAAAAAAGTTTACAAAGCCAAAGTCTCTTAAGTTAAAAGCTATGTGCCAAATGGGAACATTTTGCACTGGGTAGAAATGGGTTAAAATTGACAGTTGAAGTTCAAAACAAACGCAATTGCGTCGTTTGAATATTTGCCTAGTTATTTAAATTATTAAATGTATTAACAAAATTAATTAAATAAAAAAATATATATTGCTTGCCAATAACAACATTAATGAAACTTGAAAAAATTCATTAATTTGAAGACTTGTTATTAACTGCGAACTTTAGGCAACGTGCTATCCTAATACGACGATACTTGCATTCGGTACACATATAAACATACAAAATAATATTTTCATATACACATAAATACAATCACATTAAGATTTTTTAATGAACTACAAAAATATTGTAACGGATTTCTCGATAAATCGTCTAACCATAACTCACTCTTGAGCTCGATCACTGGATTGTTAAATTAAAGTCCCAATTTAATGCTATACACTTATCTTTATTTCCAATTCCAACAACTTAACACTTATTGCTCGCTATTCGAACTTACAACTTATTGCTTATAGCTTAATTGCTCTTAACACTCTAATTAGAACTGTCTCTGCTGCACAATCCGACAGCCCTTATAGAGTAAATTTTTAACAAAAGTTCGCTACTAGAACATTCTGGCAACTACGAATTCGCTGTCTAGTTGCTTCTGGCAGTTTATCGTCAATTCTGATTTGTTCTGGTACTGGTGTTTGCCACACTGCCCTCTACCTAAGTCTGATCGTCCCGATTAGACATATTTGCGGTACCAAACGCTGCAAGCCGTTCCAGATGAACCAATGGTCTGTATACAATACGCTACATCATTGAGTCGTTTAATAACCTGGTATGGTCCTTCCCAATTACACTGTAATTTGGGAGACAGCCCTTTTTTTCGTTGTGGGTTATATAACAATACCCAATCGCCTTCAATAAAACCCTCAGAGCTTATTGCCTTGTCGTATTTTGCTTTCATCTTATCGCTCATAATTTTGGTGCGCTGTCTCACCATAGCATGTATAATATATCCCTTATCTCGTCTTCTAGGATGCTATTAAATTCCTTAGTATTCCTTCCTCCGTTGGCGTTAATTCCAAATTTTAAATCAATCGGTAGTCGAAGATCATTACCAAAAATTACCCTTGCTTCGTTGTTTCATGTACAGCAGACCGATAAGCCATCAGGAACAAGGATATATGGGTATCCCAATCTTTTTGATATTTGTCCACAACTTTCCTCAAATGTTCTTACAAAGTTCGATTGAATCGTTCTACCATGCCATCGGACTGCGAATGTAGTGCAGTTGTACGGGTTTTCCGGATACCCAGCTTCTAGGATATCTCCTGTATTAGAGCTGATTCAAAATTTTTTCCTTGGTCAGAATGTAATTCTATTGGAACACCATATCTCGATACCCAATTGTTGATGAATACATCTGCTACTGTTCCTGCCTCTTGGTTAGGAATTGCGTATACCTCTGGCCATTTGATGAAATAGTCTATGACTACCAAAACATATCTGTTTCCTAATTTACTGATAGGAAATGGACCAGCTACATCCATGGCTACTCGTTCAAACGTTCTTACTTTTGGAACAATCATCAGAGCTCGTGAACTTTGCCCATCTTCGCTTTCCCATACGCGATGCAAGCAGCCAGACACTAACTTCAAACTATTCCATTGTGACCAATAAGCCTTTGCGATTGGGCTTTCTGCAGCTATTTCTTCTTTCGTTGAACGCTTATTCATCTCCAATCCGTGTATTACACTTTTCAAATCTGTATCCTCTTGCTGACATTTCCGTAGCTTCTTCGGATCCCAGTCTGAATTTTCGTGTCCTCGATGTAATCTACGGATTTATGTGCGTAAGCTAAGTGAGCTAACCTCTCAATCTCTATACAAAACTCCTGCAGAGACTCATTGGCTTTCTGGCGGCGATTTCGCAACTCGATTTGAAAGATCTGCTTACTGTGCTCACTACCATACCGTCTTTCTAATGCACCCATCAAAGTTTCATAACTACTCGCCTCGCAGTTTGGAATGGTCTGTAATATCTCCGCTGCCGATCCTTTTAATGCAACGAACAATGCAGCTACTTTATCTTTAACGTTCCAATTATTTGAAGATGCCGTCTTTTCGAATTGAAACTTAAAAACGTGGAACGGAACAGTACCATCAAAGGATGGAGGTTTTACCTTGGCAGAAGCTGTTGACACAATTGGCCGATTTAATTGTAGCTCGCGGAGACGATCTTTTAATTCATCCATTTCAGTTTTAATCTTATCCCGCTCTTCCGAAATCTGTGAGGATACTTCTGCTATTTGGGAGGTCACCTGCGATATCCGTGCATCCTGCTCTTTCAACTGTGAGGACACCTGTACTGATATTCGTGAATCTTGCGCTGCGAACTGCTCTTCCAAATGCGTTGACAATCGCGTTTCCATTTGAGACATACGTGTATCCTGCTCTTTAAATTATGTCGACATTTGCGTTGAAATCTCTTTCCCCATCTGCGATATTGCAGCAAAAATCATGTTGATGTCCACAATCTTTGACGAGCATTGAACCTCTTCCTTTTTTTATATCTTTGTTGTCTCTTCCTCTAATTCCGATTCAAAGACATATTCCTCAGCATTAATTTTCTTTGCTTTCATGGCTCTTCTTAACCGCGACTGTAATTTGGACTTTACTCCCTTTGTTGCCAAGCCACGTTTTTGCAGCTCCTTTATCAGTTGTGGAATCTTCAGATCGTTAAACATGGCCATTTTCAAACAATTCTTTCTTTGGGAATTTACTTGATAATCCCACTTCCAATTGTAACGGATTTCTCGACAAATCGTCTACCTGTAACTCACTCTTGAGTTCGATCACTGGATTGTTAAATAAAAATACACTTATCTTTATTTCCAATTCCAACAACTTAACACTTATTGCTTGCTATTCGAACTTACAACTTATTGCTTATAGCTAATATCGAAACAAATTAAAGAGCAGGATACACGTATAACCCAACAAATAGCAGAGGTGTCATCACAAATGTTGACACAACAATCCCAATTGTCCTCGTTAGAAACGCGGTTGGAAGAGCAGTTCGCAGCGTAAGATGCACGTATATCAGCATAGGTGACCTCACATATAGCAGAAGTGTTCTCACAGACTTCGGAAGAGCGGGATAAAATTAAAACTGAAATTGATGAATTAATAGATCATCTCCGCGAGCTTTAATTAAATCGACCAATAGTGTCAACAGCTACAGCCAAGGTAAAACCTCCATCCTTTGATGGCACTGTTCCGTTCCACGTTTTTAAGTTTCAATTCGAAAAGCGACATCTTCAAATAATTGGAACGCTGAAGATAAAGTAGCTGCATTGTTCGTTGCAATAAACGGATCTGCAGCGGAGATATTACAGAACATTCCAAACTGCGAGGCGAGTAGTTATGAAACTTTGATGAGTGCATTAGAAAGACGGTATGGTAGTGAGCACAGGAAACAGATCTTGAAATGGAATTGCGAAATCGCCGCCAGAAAGCCAGTGAGTCTCTGCAGGAGTTTTCTATAGAGATTGAGAGGTTAGCTCACTTAGCTTATGCACATAAATCCATAGAATACATCGAGAATACGAAAATTAAGACTCTCGTCAATGGAATACGAGATAACACTACACGCTTCGCTGTGTTAGCATGTCCAAAATTAACGTTTGCAGAAACAGTTTCTTATGCTCTGACACAGGAAACTGCATCTCTGCTTTGCAATCAAATATTTAAAGCTCTTAAAGTAGAAATAGAGGAACACACTTGGGTCAACCAATTACTTGAAAAAATTGACAACATGCAGAAAGCACTGGAAAAATCTATGGAAGCGCATAAGAAAAATGATTGTGTGCTTCAATGCTTTAACTGCTAAAGAAGTGGACATATTGCACGC